CAAGCACACCAGCCGCGTCGTCTGCTCCTCGTGCTGCTAACAAGTATGGGCGCGCCTCGCCAGGGGGAGGAGTGGCGCTGCGTATGCGCGGCGAAACTTCAGCCGCACAGCCCTATAGGCCAATTCTTCATAGGGCAACTCGTCGAAGGAAAACCCATCGAAGAGGCCAACCGGTCGCCGCTATTTCAAAGCCGTAATATATAACTTTTGTTTTGAAAGTTTTAAAGCAAATCTTGCCCTATAGTAATGCGTAATATCGCCGCACGGGAATAGACCTTTGGTGTGCTCTTTATTGTTGAATTAAGATAACAACTTGCAGCTTTCGCCGCTTTCACGGTACAGTGGGGGTACAGTGTTATAAATCGCCGCAGACTGTCGCCGCGAAGCGGCGACAGTCTGCGGCGACTTTGCGGCGACGGTCTGCGGCGACTCATAACAGAAATGCTAACCCACCTGGTACATTACTCACGCCGCTACGCGGCGACAGCCTGAAGCGGCTCATTACAAAAAAGTAATAAAGAAAACAAACAAAAGGACGATATTGAAATGAACATTTCTCAACTTGTCTCAAGGTACTGTCCTGTCTTCGCCTTCTTGGGATTTTTCTTTCCGTCTTGTAAAGTAAGGGCGCTGTTCTTAGTCCTAACGCAAATAAAAATTTAGGTCTAAAGAAAACAAGGAACCACGAACTTTTACCTCGGACCGTCATTCGAGGAATCGCCCTTCGACAGATTGCCCCTTTCGACAAGTTGCCCGTCGACGAGTTGGCCGGATCCCTTTTTCAATGACCGATGTTCGAGCTATATACAAGGGTGCGTTCGATGTCTGGTAACTTTGTCTTTTGTTGTAACTGTAGGTCTCTTTGTGAAAGTTCACGGACGGCGGTAGTCGACCTTAGATTTATTTGGTGTGTGAGGATTCGCGGAAGCGAAAGAAGTAGCTGGGCTCGTGAGGTGTCTCTTTCTGTGTCTTTTCCTTCAACTAAAAGTTTTGTTTTTGTGCCGCAGTCTCGGACACTGAAAAAGGATTAATGTCCACCAGGTCACCTGCACCCGACTGTTACCAATCAAGGACGCCACAAAAGAAACCCTAAAATAATTAACAAAAAAGTTCACAAAATCCTGCTCTTCGTAAAAAAAAAAAGTATTGTTTTTATACTTCCTAAGGGTTTCCCCCTTAGAAATAAAATAAAAAGTACCTTACCTAAAAGGAACGCGTTCGGGGAACGCCGTTTTGTACAAAACTGATTGAAAATTGATGATTGGTACAACACCCTGTTTCGATATATTAAACTCCGATTTTACCTAGCGGCTGATGGTCGAACTTGCTTTGGAGCAATGGGACGACATTCGAACTCCGCACCTTGAGGTGCGAATGACGTTTCAGAGTAACGTCCACTCGGGCAAAGGGCGGGGCGATTCTCGGGAAGCTTAGCGGGGCTGAACACGTTTCCGTTTGAAAGACCAATCGATATGGGAGGTCGTTGTGTGCTTTGGCGTATATTCACCCCCGAAGGACGCGCAACAAGGAGCGAATTGCCCTCAGAGTTCATACTTCGTTCAATTGAACTCACAATGTATGGTTCGAATAATACCGTAGCGTCGGGCCGGGTCGTTTATTAAGCATTTTACGACGTTTCGGCTGGAGTCCGGCCTGGCCAAAACGTCGAAATAAATTATTGATGACTGTAATATCCCAAGACATGACCCACCCCTCAAAGATGACGCACCCCTATTTTTTGCATGATTTTTTTTAAACACCGAAAGATTGCTCATTTCTAGTGATTGCAAGGCCCTGGCCAATGGTGACGTCGGCAGAAATGATGCTACTTAGCCGCGGCGGGAGATATGCGAACATTGCTGACTGGAAAGGAGGAAAGAGTCAAAGTACAGGCTAGCTGGTGGAAGTCAACCATTTCGTCGTTTACCCTGAGACTGAGGTTTTTTTTTTTTTGAAGAGCAGAAGTAACAGAAAAAAACAGACAGGTCTCAAACTCAGCTACACGTTTATTTCAACAACTTCCTCTTATATAGTTCGTTCTCGTCGTCATCAACCAATCACATACGACTTGTCCTTTGCACCGTGACTTTACAGGTTCCACTCTATCACAAAAGAAGCGGACACTCCCAACGTTTCCAAGTGAAAAGGTTCTAGCAGAAGATATGCCTCACAAAGACTTCAAGCAACTCTTTTGTGTCCTCACAATAAACAGGACAACAGCCCACAACAACATCCTACTCAAAACTGGTCACCTCCAAAATTATAGAAAACAGACAATACACACCAGTACACACTAGTACACACCACAGACAATACACACCAAAGAAGCCTTTCAAGATGACTAAAAAAAAAACATTTAAAACTGTAAAAATTGCTTGCAGCGGTTCCCTATTTGCATGGAAGGTTGACTAATGCAATTTCCCAACGATCTAATCCTAACTGTTTCTCTTACCATCCTTTTAACATCGTTGCTTTCCTTAACAACCACATCCGTTCCAGACCAATCAGTTGTGCAGTTTCTACACTCCTCCAGATGCTTAGCCAACTTTGAATTTGCTGCATTATTTTTAACATTCCTTTTGTGTTCTGTTAAACGATCGTTCAAACACCGAGAAGTTTGGCCTACATACTTAAAACCACACGCCAAAGGCACCTCATACACCACGCCTACGCTACACGGCACCGACTTTTCCCTATGCGCCTTCTGACAGCCCCTCTGAACCGTTTCAAAAGGTGTCAATCTATCTAACCTAAAATCCGTGCTGAATACGACATCCACGCCATATTTTTTTTTGCACATGCTCTAAGATTGTGGGACACCTCGTGAAAATACGGAACCACACGTACCTATTCCTGATTTCTTGCGTCTTCCCCTTTTTCTCCTTGCACTGTAGGGCAATCTGCCTTTTGATGTACTCTTCCCCATATCCTGCCATTACCAGTCTTTCCCACTGGTTTTTTAGTGCCTCCGGTCCGAAATCCATGCATGATCTCACCAAAGCATTACTAATCAAAGGTCTGACTACCCCGGCTTTTACATTTTTCGAGTGACAGCTACTCTTTGACAGAACCGGTTTTGGGTTTTCCTTCCCATACTCCCAACAAAGACCTCGTTCCAAATGTAAACGCAGGTCGAGAAATTGCAGGACCTCGCCCCTTGGCCTCTCTAACGTGAATCTCAGGGTAAACGACGAAATGGTTGGAAAGGAGGCTCGTCTTTGGTTCATGAATCCCGGAAAAAAGCTCACCGGAGAAAAGCTCACCGGACAAAAGCTCACTGCAAAACCGGTGGTTGGGGAGAAAAGCTCACCGGCCATTGAGCGTATGCGGAGAAAAGCTCACCGTTTTTTTTCTCCTTCTTTTTATATGGAGGCTGCTGAATCATGCGTAACATATATCCAATTTATTATTATTAAAATTCGTCAACTTTGTAAAAAAGAAAATGTCCTTTTTTGTATTATTTATGAGGATTATTGGGTATATTCCTCCCAAATTAATAATTGCGGGCGAGTGTTTTCTGTGGTTTACTCTAGGCAACGAAAGCCTGACTGAAAACTTTATGAACTTGAAGAACAGGAAAAAGTTCGAAAACTTAATGTCTGCCTAAAACCCAAAAATCAAAACTGTAAATGCCGAAAATCTGAAAGTGCATGCGCAACAACGCGGTGCCTGAGATTCTCTTTGAAGCTTTTATAAACCTTTGAAAATAGGATAAAACAGTCAGTCTATAGGATATCGAGGTTTCTTTCTTCCATGGACGTGCACGTTTTCTAGCCGTTCGTGCTGGTGTTTCCACAAGTTGCCTTTGTGTGATAGTGCCCCTCTACGGCGAGCCGCCCATGACCTTGAGAGCTGCACGTGCACTGTCACCGTTGTTAATCGTGACCTATATAAGAACTAGTCTTCCGTAAGGTAGCGAATTGGCCGACTTGGTAAATGTTACACATGATGAAAACAGTTTAAACGACGACGACGGAGTGAAAACAACAAACACGTCAGGACAAAGCTGTTCTCGCAACTAAAGTTTTGTTAGTGAAACTAACAGAAGGAAAACAGCGTAGCCGATACTGATTACATCAACAAACACCACCTTATCTATCAGGCACTACGCAATATGTTGAGCTGAAGCGGTTCATACACCGCTACTTATATTAGCTCGCAAAGAACAAGCCTCTTTATCTGACAGAGCTACCGACGGCGCACTGTCAGCTGTCAATAAATTGTAGTTTTTTACCGGTGTCCAATGTTCTGATTTTATACCTGCGGCTTCATTAATATACAAGAAGGGGTGATTACTAACTTCTGAGGAACTAGTGAATATGCCCAGTGAACTTCGACAATAATGCAAAAAAGAGGGCATATCTTTAATGAAGTGACGAATGCGAATTCTGTTAAATTGCCACGTGTAACGCAAAATCCGCTAAGCTAAAAAAAAGAAAAAAGGAAAAATCGGTGTGGTTTATTTCACATCCGTAGGAGAGGAGGAGTAGAGCGCCGAGCTCTGGCTGTGGTCAAACGCGTTAGAACGCGCGGAACGCCAGCGTCCGTCGTTTGGCTTTTGTATTCGAACGTGTTTGACGAGTGCAGTGGAGACAAAGGCATCCCTAGTCTCCACTGCACACGTCAAACGCGTTAGAACGCGGAACGCTGGAGTCTGGCGTTTGGCTTTCGCATTTGAATGTGTTGGACGAGTGCAGAGGAGACAAAGGCAGCTGGCTTTAGCTCTACCCACTAATCCTTCCAATCAGCGTTCGGCGTTCCTACGTCTCTCTTCTCCTCCTCTCCCGCACTTTCTCGGCGCATAAAGTCAAACTGTTCAAACGATGTACAATTAGCTTCTCGCATGTTTTTTTTTTTCTGTTGAGACCGGTTATAACGAAGTCGGTTATAACGAAATAGCAGATATAGCGAAGTGATTTCAGATTCCCTTTTGATTTTGTTACAACCGGTCTCAACAGTATTTTTTTAACTGTTTAATGTTTTTTTTTTCTTTTTTGCAGTACGTGGGAAGTTTTTCTGTGACTGACAACGAATCGTGGTGCAGGCCCGAACTGATGGACGCTCAGCTGGCCCGAATGAGGGTGAGTCTCGCTTTGTGAACTCACTCCGTGGGACTCCGCCATTGGAAGGATCCACAGTGATAGCTCATCCGGGAAGAAGAAGCTCCCTCGGCTAAGAGCTCCCACTCATGGAGTGTCCCGTGTTATATCTCAGTATACTACGCATGTCTAAAAACGCGCTCACAGTGACCATACATCATAGATAACAGACGATCTGTAGACGTATTCGAAGCATAAGTAGGAAGCGAAACGTGCTTGAGGTTTATCCCCAGATAATTATGTCATCGTGTATTTTGCGAACACCGGGGTCTTTTGTATGACGTTCGAGCAGCATGACTGCTCTAGTTTTTTTGTTTGTTTTTTTTGTAGTTAGGAGCATAGCAAAGGCTACTCTGCCGAACGAGGTGAAAGTCTCGGAATATCCATAATGCTAAATTGTCTGGCGAAGAAAAAAAAATCTTATGTATCTAGGAGCTCTCATTCATGGACTTCCTCGTGTTCTGCCTCAATATACTGCGCACGTCTTCGTTTGTTGCGCGAGCGCGCGAGAATTACCGCATAGGAACCAACGGATAAGCAAAAGCATGCGCCCAGCAGTCTCTTCGTTGTGATTCTCCAGGTCAATGCGCACGGAGGTTAGAAATGGAAGCGATCAAAAGCTCTTTTGGGACCGTTCCGTTCCGCGAAAGGAACTGGCCACAATGCCGACTGCCGGTGGCACAATGTGGTCGATGCTATTGTAACGCCGCGGCTACGTTCTATAGCGCGCGCTATTTTCCGCGTTCTCGCGGCGTTTGCCGGCTTCCGGGTCGTCTTGAAGCCCGAGCAGACACGAGTCGTGTAGTTATTTGGGCGCTTCATTAGCGCGAGCGTATGCCCGAATATGAGACGCCGCTTTTGAAGCGGTGCCAGATGCAGACTCAACATAAAGTTGATACAGGTTGTTGGAGCCACTGGTTTCCCTCCCCCGAGAAGGCGTATGCCACGGACGTTCTCAGCAAAGTCGTCTGGCTTTGAGCCCTGTCGCTCCGTGTGTCCGGGAGAATACGCCACCATGTTGGCCCACCCTCTCGCACTCCTCCGCGCGTCTGCCGTTTACGGGGGACACACACCAAACTTGTACGTAGTTCAGCTACTCTACTCAAGTTACTGTAGTTTAACTACTTTTCTGAGTAGTTCAGTAACTTTCATTTTTATTTTTATCTCGGTAATTAGTAGTTTACTTTAATTACTTTTTCCGAGTAACTTCTACTCAAGTTACAAATTACTTTCGAATTTTAGTGGTTGTTTTTCCTATCAACAAACATTCCTGCACAAAGGAGATAAGATGTTGGAAAACCAGCTTATATTTGCAAAGAGGGGGAGCATGTGTCGTAGAAAGAGGGGGAGGGTGGAGAAAATGGTTTGGAGAGTCCGAAACCCCCAAACTTTTCACAAGCCCCCCTCCCCCCTCTAATTTACTTTGTACTTCAAGTACTTTTTCGATGTACTTTACGCGAAACTCTAAACAAGCAACCACTGTCTAAAAAATCAAGCTCAGATAGGGATAAACCTCACAGTTGAAATGACACATTCGCACGCAGTACATCATTCACCAAGCAAACAAGAAAGTACAAAACAATTAGGCACGCAGAAGCAGAGCCAGCTATTAAAACATTTCTGGGAAAACAAAAAAAAAAAAAAAAAAAAAACGATTCATATATTTGGTTAGCACAATTTCGCTGACGATTAAATCCTCTGTACTTTCTTTGGACCATAAAAAAAACAACATAAAAGTAACTTCAAAAGTAGCTTGAAGAGTAATTCGCTACTTTTTTACGGTAATTAGTAATTCTCTCAATTACTTTCTGTTTTAGTAATTTCTACTCTACTCAAATTACTTTTGACATCAATACTCAGTAACTTAACTTAATTACTTTTTTTGAGTAACTTGTACATGTCTGACACACACACACCAGCGAGATCGCGCGGGACAGTCAAGCCAGCCCTCCTCCGAGTGAACGGCCGTCTGATCGGGGAGTCCTGCAGATTGAACTCCGGGCGACGGGTCAAGTCACGGCGTGAGCTCGTCCGACCGGCGATGACTCAACGCTAGCGTTTACCCTGGTTCTGACAGTCGGCGTTCCCTCTATCTAGTAGACGTCCGTCTGCCGAGAGCCCTGGCCCTGAACTCCTGCGACGACGGGTAGCGGCGCGAGCTCGGTCCACCGGCGACGACTCCCCTCGCAATTACCCCTTTGGCTGTCAGGTCGCGGCGGGCGCTGCGGGCACTCTGTGTCCACGGCTCGCTTGACCGCATGCGTCTTGTTGGGGACCCCTGGTACTCAATAAACGCTGTTGGACACAGGGATCATCGTTGTTGGCATGGCGTTGGCGAACCCGGCGTGGCGACCGCCTTCCCTGGTAGCCTTGGGCAGCCCGGTGGGGCGGGCATCGGTTTCCCCTTTGAGCATCGGTCCCCAGACGTAAAAATATCTGCCTCTCTCCAAAAGGTTGCGGTCTATGTTGCCCGCATTTCATCCGAGTTGCGACAGCTGCTAGCCTGTCGAAGTGGCAGACTAGCGCTATCGTACTGCTCTTCATTGCTAGAATGCTCTAGAATATGCAGAACTTGATGTTGCATATTCATTAGATATATATATTTTTGTGCATATAAATAGCGACTATGATTTACTATTATTGTTTTTTTTCGGCCCTTTAGGGCCGGGTACAACGTGGGTGTACTACAGACAAAGGCGGGAAATCAAAGCGGCGGTACTTATGGTTCGGAGAGGCAAAGTGGCAGGTCTTAGAAAGTCGCCCACGCTCTACATGTACCGCGACGTGGAGGGAGAGCGCGTATACTATCCGAGACCGTTTGCGCATCCGAAAAGACGTCACGGGGAAGCGTCGAGTGCCCAATATTCGTTCGATGTAGACTTCGAGTACCGCCTTCGCAAATTTGTTGTTGTTTCGTGCTTTTTTTATTATTAGATTGTTTTCGGGCTCCTGACAGTAGGCGCTAGGCAAACGCCCAAGAAGTACAAACGGAAGTAGCAAAAAAGAATCGGAGGAATCGAGAGCAGCCAACACAGTATCTGCAAAGAGGAATCGCGACCAGACGAATCGAAAAGCAGTTTACCCGTTCGACGATTCGCCTGGAGGGTGCCGATTTTTCTCTGCGAATCTAGCTGCGCCCTAGTGGCTCGGATAACGTCCCTTGCGTAATTTTTTTCTTTCGTGCATTATTTTGGTTTCCTCAAAATTCATGGTTGCTTTTTTTTCTTTCTTTTTTTTTTTTTTTTTAGTTGTCGCGTTAGTTTTTTTCGTTTGCTTTTGGCAGCTTTCCTGGTTTCTTTCTACTTGGATCTGGTTTTCTCTTCCATTTCCGCCCTGTGTTCTTGTCTTTCTTTTTTTTTTTTCTTTTTTTCCTGCAGCCTCTTATGTTGTAACGCTTCGTGAATCCGTTCCACTCACCACGTCTTACGCATCATTATGCACGCTGGTAATTTGCCCCCCCCCCCCCCCGCACATACACACAAACGCACACACAAACTTTTTCCTCTCTGTAGCTTTTGTGTGTGTGTTTTTTATTATTCATTCTGCCCGACCTTTGAGGCCTGCGTACCATTGTTTCTTCCTAGAGCTTTCTTTCGCCGACGAAACACGCATCGTTGAATTCGACTACACCCGAGCTTTCGAACTTTCTACTCTAGCAGTTTCTCCTTTTAATTTTTCCTTATCCGGAGTGGCACAGAGCATTGGAATCGCACTGCGCCTGCGCGAGGTGCACGCAAGTGGCACTCGGTTTAGTTAGCGCTTGCACATCGTCGTTCAGCCTACTTTTTGATTAAACTGCGCCGCGAAGGATTATAAATAAAAATGTTGTTATCTGTACTCCTTCGCAGCGCAGTGTAATCAAAACAGAAAAAAACCAACTATCCCAGTCCCAAGCACTCTTCAGCATACTCTAGTAGAGCCACTAAGTGAGCCACGCCTAGAGTATCGGCACTTCGTTCCCCGATCTGCAAGTGGGCGCCGCCGTCTTGATGCTTAGTGCAGAGCATACGCAACTGTCGATGGTCACAATCAAAAAATGCCACTTCCTCATCTTTAGATATACGCTGTGAGGAGGCTCGGGTGATATTGTTTTGCACTGTCGCGAACTGTTTTAAAAATTCTGGTAAACAGAAAAGAGTTTCCTGCGATTTCAGATAAAGCTTCTGATAACTGGCAACCATGATTTTAAGCAACAAGATGGCTGAAGTGTCGTTACTCTAAAGCGTAACGTATTTAGTGACTCTACTCTACTCGTTTGTCTTCCTGTGATTCGAAACCATGCTTTCCATATGTTCAACTGCTGCAGGTTCTGCATCCCACTACTAATGCTATTCATTGGGGGATTTTTTTTATCGTATGTTATTTCGGTGTTAAACTAGATGAAATCTCACTTTATTAGCTCGAAACATCGACACTAAATTCATCACTCTCGAGGTATCGTTATCCCATACCGCACAATACTGGATGTGGTCACCCAATTAACCTCACTAGTGTTCCAGGTACACGTCTCCGACTGGTGTGATTAGCGTCGTATGAGGAGCGCAAGTTCGTCTGCTTCTTTGCAGGGCTTGTGGTGACGTCAGAACGCCGAGCTCTGATTGGCTCTGAAGGAAGGATAGTGGGGAGACCTCTAGGCAGCTTGCTGTGAGGTCTACACACTATCCTTCAATCGGAGCTCGGCATATTTCCGACGTCACTTGAACTCCTCCGCAAGAAGCAGACGACTCGCTCTCCGCATTCCCGACCATTCATCCAAAGTGTTTCCGAAGTGGCAACGAATGACGTCACAAAAGCCGGAGAGTCGCGTTGTCGGACGTCGCGATCCTGGCGGTTGGTGGTCCGATAGAAGTTGCGGCGAGAAAGCACGAGCGAACGGTAGTGTCGCTGTCGTCAGGGCGTCCCAACTCCTGGCACCCAAAGAAGGATCCGTGAACTCTCAAGCTGTAGAGCGACCTGCAGCAGAACGGGCATATACCTCATCC